GATGTTACTTTGCTAAAAAAAACACCGCGGTTTGCGAAACTAAAGTCTTGTGGGAAACAGGGGGTTAGGTGAACCGCGGTCGGTGTTCGCGTAAAAAATGTCCATTCAAAATCATACGATCGTTAGTCGAAAGATATAAGAAATGTCGTCAAAATACGAAATGAACATCTGTTTCTCACTGTTATTGTCAATAAAAATACACTGAACACTATGATGTGTTTCTGAACGCTTAAAAAGATACGTTAGACACCTTGAAATACTAATTCCTCACTTCTGTTAGCATTCTTATACAAACAAACAAACAAACAGCCGTCTGTATCACAGCCATTGACCGTTTGATTCAGATTCGTGAGTAGATTGCACAAGGAAGATACAAATTATAGATTTACCGAATTAATAGACGAAAAGAAAGAGTCCTCCTGGATTTTTTCTTCTGTATCCAAATTGTGTAAATCACGTTTGCTCAGCGGAAAGCAAACGAAACGTCTGACTGACGTCACAGTTACACTTGTACTAACAGTTTTAAAAACATCGATCGCACACCACACACTGTAAAATGGCAGCGCGCAATTCCCCACAGATTTCCACTCCAACTACTCAAGCAAAGTTCAGATCGATAAGACAATAAGTAAATAAAAACTTCAAATTGTATTTTCTTTCCCAACAGGAATCAGTTTCTAGTTATGGAGCAGTCTGATGTTACAACACACTCTTCGAACGGAATAAAATATTAGCTAGGAGATCGCGCGTGTCCATTAGTACGACAATATTCGGCGAAATTCGGTATTTCAGATCTACACTAACATGTGTAAGGATAATTTAATTATGTTCCTTATCAGTGTATTTGACACTAAGGTCAAATTAAAGTATATAAGTTGATTCCCCCCCCCAATAGAAATGACCGTGGCTTATCTCAAGGGATTTGAACAGTATTCCCGTATTTGGACAGATGTCAATACACCTTGTGACGCGGGAGATATTCGAACCAAGTATTTCTCGAACACAGATCTCGAGAATGTCGCAGCTTCTAGGAAAAACAAGGTCTCAGAATGACTGTCCATTTTAACTTTATTCTGTGCGATGAAAGTTTGAACGTTCAACTTGCCATCTCCGTAATCGCTGTCAGCTGTACAGAAAAGTCCCAGTCAGACATGGTTCAATACGGGGAGCTGATCAAACACGGAGACGATATTTTTAAACAGTCTGTAGCTTTACTGCGCATGCAAAGAGGACAGTGACCTCGAAACCAAAAGAGTAGCTCGTCCTGGGGGCAATGTTACTCAAAATATGGGTCGCGGTACCTGTCGTGTGGCTTACACGTTCTCAATTCCGTAAGTGTTTTAGCAAAAAAAGAACACGGACGTCGATACCTGCAGAGCAAGATGTCCGAACAGTTGCCAAGCAACGGGGGCGAGTTTGTCACCAAGGCGTCGCCATATAACGGGTGTTGCAATTTTTTTGTCAACTCACTGTCATTCAACTCACATAGGCCCTAGGCGCTGAGGTGGAAAACTAGTATAAGATTTCTTCGTTTAAAGTAAAACCAAACGTCACATCAGAGCAGTTATTACTCCAGCTTCGTATTCAGCGGGTGTCGGGTTCAAGTCTCAACCGGAAGCCGTCACATTCTCAGATTCTCTCTGCTTTTCCTCGTGCCTCGCGGCAAAAGTTAGACCACGACCACTTCCTACGACATTTTCCCAATTAATTACCATTCTATTTATTTATTTAGTGTTCTGTCTGACGACAGGTCCATATGAACAGGATCCTTCCATCCTTTTCTCGGACTGGGACCTGTTCATATACGTTCTTGGCAGATGATCCAGAAGTGGTTTGCCATTGCCTTCTTCTGTGTGTGAATGGAGTAATTGTTGGGATGCCACGGAGGAAAACTCCGTGTTGCCTAGACCACGGCCTTGCCCAACACAAGTTATAAATTCGGGCACCGCCGGGAATCGAACCCGAGACCCCAGGATTACAAGGCCAGCGTTCTAACCGCTAGATCACCGTGCAGCTTATTACCATTCTACGGTTAATTAAATTAAGTTGGCATTCGTCGTTAAACACCACCGACAATCGATCAGTCATTGAGGTGTTGCAAAAGTACGCGTTCTTAGTTTTCAGGTAACAGAAATCAAATATAACGGCTGTTAACAACGGGTCGTTATGTTTCTGCGTAATAGGAGTTCGTACGTCGTTAAGTCATTACCGGGTAACAGGTGTATTCATTGTGAAATGGTAACGGGAACATCAGTGCGTCGTTAGGTCAGTCCTTGTCACGGGGCACCAAAATAATGCTCAAACTCCTCAGGTCGTAGGTCACTGACATTCAGGAAGGAGTCGGGCGGATCAGAGCTCAAAATTACGGCTTCCAGCGATCAAGTGAAAAGGTTATTCGCATTTGGGACTGAAAATATTTGTCTGATCTTAAAAAGAAAACACTTCTAAGGCTTGACGATTTCTTCTCGCGTATCAAAGCGTGCTAAGTCCAGCATCCATCCTGTTTTACGCTTTCTTTAAACTGAACGGTGAGATTGAGAAACAATACCAACTGTGACGTTTATTACTTCTGATTATTCGAAGATTAAAAAAAGTCACCAGCTCCAGCCAGCAGAGAACTTCTGGAAAAACTAACAGTAATACGATCCCAGGTTCTCACAGCGGTGAGTACGGAGATGACCGTCTTCCGAACCTCAGCGCCGTGTGGTCTGGGCGATCATCGCCCTGATGACAGAGGCAGCAATGACCTCTGTAACGTCAGTAAACTTCTACCAGACAACAGCTTAGACAGTCAAGAAATTTCCATACACTTTAACAAATCCTAAGGTCAATTACAGCATCCTACTACTTCCGTAAGATGCGTTTTAATATTATCATTCCATCTACGCCTAGGTCTTGTCAGTATTATCTTCCTTTCAGACTTACCAACCAAACTTTTGTATGCATTGCTCATCTCCCACCGTGCGTCTTACAGACACACGCTCGTATCATATTCCTTGATCTGATCGTCTTACAATTATCAAAAAATATGGACACTGAAGAGACTTCATGAAGTACAGTGTAAAAATTTAAGGCACGTTTCATTTAAGGGGCAGGTGAGACGAGGGTGTTATATCACAGCAGACGAAAAAATGTTTTTTTTTTACTAAAATCATTAATAAATATGACATGATTATTTATCCGGCAACATTTTTCCAAATGCGCTGGACTCGTCGGGCTTGAGTGAACACAATTTCTTGACAAAATGAACGATTAACAGCTTCTCAAACAAGGAGTCAGCTCCGTGGAGAGAGCAAATAGTTATTTTATTACATGAATCAACTACAGAGCGTATCAAATCATGAATGACTGATGATTACTCTCAAAGGGGAAAAAATGTCGATACTTCACTGGTTCATTCAGAATGGGAGTTGGATACTTTTAATTCAAGGTCAAAATCATACAATTTATTCAAACTTCCTGTAACTTTTATTACCTCACAGACGTGAGACAAGAAGGAAGATGGAATTAACGTCACCAGAAGAATTGGATAACAGTGTCCTTGTAGAAATTAGACGAACGTCAGAAGAGACTAACGAATCCGAAGTTCGACAGGCGGCCTTCAGTTCACTGTAATTTTGAATCCCACATTTGTCTTAATATTAATTAATGCAGATACACAGTATTCACAAACCAAGCCCAAAATTTAACCTAAACAATTTACATTGCACAGCCACAAATACTATTTTGAAGGCGGCCTCCAATAGTCTATTGCAGTGGTATTCAACCTTTTTTGTTCGCGTACCCCCAGATATAAATTCTCTTCAACTTTGTACCCCAAAATTTGTTGGTATATAATTCAAGTTATACATAGTACGTAATCTACATCTAAAATAAATCAAATAAATTACATTACTGATTCTACAGTGTTTATCATAAAATAATATATATTTTCTTTTAAATTTCAAGTACCCCTTAAGATGTCTTCGCGTACCCCCGGTTGAAAACCACTGGTCCATTGTATTTCTTCTCTGACCTGCTCCTACATCTCAATCCACGTTTCGTTCGAGGCTTACACATCGCCCTGATAATGTACGCAGTAAGCATCTCTGAAACAGTTTCTACTAGACTACACGGCACATCATGTTATCTCCATATTTTCCACCGTAAGAATCTAATATCTCACAGGGTGTTCGGGTTATCTGCGGTTAGAACCTTGTAGAGTCGACCGACTTCCCGCATAGCGGTGAGCCACGGTCGAGATAAGGTATCACTGACAGCGATACAATGAACATCTGGTATAATTATGCCACGGAAAACAAGGTATAGAAGTGTTGCACGTCTTAATAAGGCTACGACATGCGATGGTTTTAATGATGGTATGAGGAATTGATAAATGTTCCTTCTGACTTCAAGTGACGAGGTTAACAGTGGACAGACACTATGGAAATAAACTTGAACGACACAAAGAATACTTACTCGTGTATTCTGGAACTGCGAGTTACGCCATGTTGTGAACGAATTCGCATATCTGGACGATAACTTCGCTAATATTAGATACGGGTACAGCAAAGTAAGAAGAAAATGCAGCGAAGTTAGTGACCTAAAACAGCAAAGGTCAAACATAAACCGTTGTCCAAGCTGGGGACTGTAATCCCATGGTTAATTACACTTTCTTTCTTTCTATAACACACCATACTTCATTTTTTAGATGTGGGGTGAGGCGTAGAACAGTGAACAAAAAGTTACACTAAGTGAGTCACGTCACGTACTGACGGTCTCCAGTTGTAACAAAACTAATTTACATTTAAAAATGTACCCGCATATTATTAATTAGCTGAAATGTCGCTATCATTGGATCTCACAGCTAAAGCTTCAATTACCCCCATCAAACCGGTTTTCTAACCCTTCGAAGCCGAAGCTCGTCTAAATAGCATTTAATAATCCAGTCCGTACCGCGAAGAAAACACGACGCCTCACCATTACAAAGATCAACTCGTTAACGCTGTTTAAGGAAATAATCGCTGTTTATTCTGAGAATTAATTAACCCTTCGAAGCCGAAGCTCGTTCAAATAATATTTAAGAATCCAGTCCGTACCGCGAAGAAAACACAACGCCTAACCTTTACAAAGATCAACTGGTTAACGCTGTTTAAGGAAATAATCGCTGTTTATTCTGAGAATTAATTAACCCTTCAAAGCCGAAGCTCGTTCAAATAATATTTAAGAATCCAGTCCGTACCGCGAAGAAAACACAACGCCTCACCGTTACGAAGATCAACTGGTTAACGCTGTTTAAAGCTTGTGTGTCCTTTTTAAAGCCACTAGCTCAGAAGGGTTGCGGGTTCAAATTCGACTCTGGGACTCAACGTCAGTACGTCAGACTACATAAAGTCGATTAAAAGGATTATTAATTAACAGTGAGCCGAAAACGGATATGGAGGGAATAAATCGTGGATTAATTTAACGTGTTCTCCCTACATTTACGTAGAGGGGCTGAGAAAAACTACGAAAGTATAATTCTGTTATATTATCACCATTTTCCCTACCGGTGAATGTTTGAAACAGCAGAAACACTTTATCTCTGGGACTTAAAAATAAATGCTTGTCTGGTCGCGGTTGAAGCCATGCGATATGCAAATGGCGATGGACTTCGCTGCGATGGTCCCACGCGCGCCCTTGGATTTTCCTACACGTGAAATCATTTTTAACCCAATTCTTTCGACATCAGACTTAACAGCAAAGGAGTGAGAGAGTTTTCTTAACAAGAATTACGCGGTGCTGACATTACGATAGCCAGTCACTTCCTGTGTCACAAAAAAATAATATTAAAAGAGTCTCGCTAGGCTGATTCGTTGCTACGGTCCACCTTGAGGACCTGAAAGTAGGTCAGGCTGAGTTTCACTTGTTTTGCTTTCGGGTGGCCTTGGATTTGGCTCCTTCGTAACTGAAGATGTCTTCGGAGTATTCTACGAGAGAAATCCCCGGGGAAATATGACTCTCAGTGCAGAAAGAGTCATTTCGATTCTTGAATTTCTTTTATTTGTATGCTCGCGATTTTAATTTCGTAAAAATATTCAACACAGACTCCCAACAAACTTTTACTACATATCAATTATAATAAACTGCTGATAATGGCCTAAGCGTTTCGGCCTCTATGGAACCATCTTCAGTGTGTACGTTTTCTATACGTCACATTTTATTTCAAAATTGGTACGCAGAAACGTGTTTTAAAATATCAAAAAATTACAAAAATAAATTCAATATTATCGACGAGGAAATATCCCTTATTTTAAATTAAAATATATAATTCCTTTCGACGTGTTAGGACCTCAAAGAATTTCACTACTCTTGGATCTCAAATGTTTCTGATGGATCGTACAACCTGTTTGTAATAAAATCAGTCCGACCGAGAAATAATCAATTCAATGCCTGCATTCATGACGTCACGAGAAACCACATCTCATCTCACCATTAACCAGAGAGTAAAAAAGTTTTTCAGTTCAGCCGATCTGTACCAAAAATTTTATAAAACACGTTGATAATTTCATTTTACACGCCGCTTCAAAAGTTGTGGTACTAAACATTGTGAACCTAATATCAAAATACTTGAGCAATAATTCATCGCATTTCTAAAATTACCGGCAAATCTTACAGTCCAATCTGTTAAAAATTTGAAAGGTCTAAAGTATCACTGATATCCACTGAAGCCTTTTATCAAACAGTGGACATCCATGCAACGACAGTTAAGTAAATTATCACGAGATATAGAAACATGGCTGACAACTCGAAACTTCGAAAATTCCTTTGAAAACCAATGGTAACTAAATATCCCACCTGCTTCAACAATCAATAATCTTTATTGGTTTCGTAAGATTCTCAACGTAAACAGCGTTAATTTTCTTAATCAGCGTTAAAAAGTTGATCTTTTGTAATGGTGAAGAGCTGTGTTTTCTTTTCGGTACGGACTGGATACTTAAATGTCATTTATACGAGTTTAGGCTTCAGAGTGTTAATTCAAGAAGATCGTGGACTTTACTGTGGTACAGTCTGTAACCTGTGTTGCCAGCGAGAGGTTAAAAATAATCAGAGCGCATTTTGGCAGCCCCAAGACGTAGCGCGTGTATTTTTGGGTGCCTTCCTTACTTGGTAACAACAGTGTGTGCCTGGTTCTGTCGACATGGCCAACTCTGTTATGCTGGATGCTTTCACACATTTCTGCTTATCAACATGACCTCCTTTGTCACACGCAAATATGGCTACTTACATCAGTACACGTTTATGTTTACAATCATAGGATTTAGGTGAAAAACATTTAGTTACATACACGAATGGCGCTGTTATTAACTGCGAAAGTCTAGATCGACGTAAGTTCTTAGCTATAGATGACACTAGTATGCACTTCGATGCCTTATCTTCTCTGTTTGATAGGAATTTTTTTTCAGAAATTATATAAAATTTTAAATAAATATTCTATGGGGATCAGGCGTACTACAATAGAATCAATATACAGCGTTTCAGAGCCTGTTATGTCTCCATTATCAGAGATGATAATAATAGGCCATCCTGATGATGGAAACACGGACAGTCTTCGAAACACTGGCCTTTAACTCGATTCTCACACGGGCTGGCCACCCTAGAAGACTTCGTGGCATTCAGTAGCTGTGAAACGTCAATTGTATTTGACTATAATGAAAGCAATAATAAAGCTTTCACGAATAACAAAATAATTATGCAAGATACGTACACGTTGACAAGCAGCGCCTACTTCATATCACTAGGTGATGTGATGTTCCACCATTTTGCTTCATTCCACCAGAAAAGTGCAGTGTAACGACAAGAGTCTTTTTTTTTCAAACAATTTTCCAGATAACTGGGATAAAAAATAATGGAGCTACTCGCTTTGGTTGGGCTAGGCACGCGCAGATGGGGTGTTCAAGTATTTGCATGTATTGATAAAACGGCTTCGAAACCTTGGACACGGTCATGTTCAATGAACGCAGTTCACACTAGATCAAATGTCTTGTCATGTTAATGTCTAACACAAGATCACGTCAGTGGCCATTTGGTGGACCGAAGCCAAAGGCTCTGACCAAGGGATTCAGCAGAAGACTCTAAGAACAATGCCACGATGTAATTCAAGTATAACAGAGCAGAAATTGTTCCCTGAATTCATTATTCCCCTCGCCCAAATCCTCTGACGAACTCTTAAAGGAAAAAGTTTTGTCTAAGAGTATAAGTTATAGCAATAGCGACATATCGATACTCGATCTGCAAAACATCGCAACAAGACGTAGTTCCCCTTAAATGATTTTGTAGCCCCCTTAGATTTCTCGGAAACACCGAAAAATACGGGTAATATAATGCCCCCCCCCCATATAAACAATTTTATTTTGAAATTAACATGGTAAAATTAAGTACAGTCTACTAGGCACAATTTTCGTGAAAAGATGGACGGGGCATTTAAAATGCCCTCTCGAAGAGATATATAAAAAAGGAGGTTAACAGATCTTTCTTTTCCAGTTTCAATATGGTTCCATTCCGTTACCAGTACCATGTGTACTTTCACTGGAACATGGCTGCAATGTTCAACGTCAGTAACGCTTCCAGATATTATCAAATTCGGTGACGAATGGGGAAAT